GCTTTTTACTCAGGGAGCTCAAAGGAAAAGCCTGGAAAGAGACAGGGGGAGAGAGAGAGAGACAGATCAACAGAGAGGGCGACATCTCATTTCAGTCCTATCTGCATTTGCAGAGGTAATGTTCATCAGAATAACCCAGCAACAGTTGCAACATTAGTAAAGAGCTGTGGAGACATTGCCACAGGATGCAGCCTTAAAATAACACACTTTCTGACAGGTTTCTAAACTGGACCAGTGCTGTTTAGATTTTCCGAAGCGTGTACACACTCACAAAACTAAAGGTGAGGCGTGTAAGTTCTGTTACTAAACAGAACTGAATTGTTTTCAAATAGGTTTCCATCTGCTATTGGTCAGCCAAACAGATAGCCACACCCCCAAATGCACGCCATTGGTTGAGCTGTTGCTATGCCTGGCTGGTTGTGAAATATAAACAAATAACGTTTTGATAGAACCACAGAGAAAGTGTTTATTCTCTTACTCTCTTTAGGGAAATCAAACTACAAATGTCTTATAGTCATCTACGCTTATGCTGGAATTGAAGATTGAAGTATTTTATATTTTAAAGTCTTTGCAGTCAAGTTGGAAATATATTTGTTACTCATTCACCTGATGAGTATCTTGCCATAAAGATGACGTTATGAACAGACGAATGAAGTAAAAACAAAAGGTAATGTGCATGTTATATTCATCTCCAATTAACCACCGCTGAAATATGGACCGCGGCACAAGCGTGGGCGTAATTGCAGACTTCCGAGAAAGAGAGGAAGCCAGACGCTAATGAAGCTAATGGCACTTTGGAGAGAAATTATCAGCTGACATGGATGTTCCATTAGCGAGCTGATGAAGTTTAGATTACATTATCATCGCTGGTTCTCTTAGTCACAGCGCCGGGGGAACAAGAGTTGAATGCGTGTCTGAGTGTGGAAAATTAGCGTCTGTCTCCATCTGTTGTTATTTTAAGGGGAATCCGAGTAGGAAATTTTCCTATTGGCCAAAAGTGAGCTTGTCAATGAAGTTGATTATGGGCAGTGTTTGGGAGTAACTAACTAAAGGTAGCAAAGCTGTGACTAGCTGTTTTTCAAAATGGTTAAAATTGGATTTTGAAAAGTGGTTTCTATGTGACCGGAGGGGAGGGGCTAAAAACTAAGAGGGCTTGATGATGTCATCAGAAAGAAAACTTGTTTCAGGGGCGGAGCAAACTGTTATGTTTTGATGAACAAAGTCTAACTCTTCAAGCACTTGAATGGACAAATATACACAAAATTATTTTAAAACGCCTGTCTTTGTGAGTATCCTTGCAAACAGTCAGTAAACAGTTAATAGTAAAAAGACTAAACATTTAAAAAGTCTATTTTTTATTCCTTTTGAATAATGTGCAATAAATCATACACAGTAATACCAAAAAAGTGTATTAAGAAAGTATATAGGCTCAATTAAGATTTCATTTTGACTTTACAAAGTGCAACGTAAACGATTATCTGATTTGCGCAACCCTGCACAGAATCCTTTTGTATTTTTTACAAAAAGTATTGTAAAAAAAAAAAAATTCTGTCAAATATTTTTCTTGGTCACTTAAGTTACAAAATTACTTTTGCGACACTGCTAATAGTTGCACTGTAAGTTTATTGCACCGTTAGACATGGTTGTATCTATGAGGTGTCTCAATACGCTCCCTGGTTAAAATAGAATACTGTGCAGGAAACCCTTTCTAGAGCTGTCCCATTGCCAAAATCAAGTGCACTACCACATTCACTACCAAGAAATTCCCAGAATGCACCATAAAACCAGTTAACATAATCAGCTAATGATAATGAAAAAATAAAATAAAAATGACTTCAGAAAGATACCACTCATGGTGTTATTCAGCAGTATTCTTGATAAGTACCAATTGCTGGTTGGGTTATTAGTTTCTCAAAATTTCATGGATTGAGGCCCATGCTAGTGCTCAAAATCGTGTTCACGGTAAACGGTCCAGAATAATTCCTAAAAGTTCAACCTTGTGATACTGACAATCAATTCACATGAAGCTGTATGAAACAACATCCATTCCCTTTGTCTGTGTTCTGTCCATTTCTTCTTCTCTGGAAAATTACATGGAATGGAGTGTTCCTGAGAGCCGTAGCCAGTGGATGCATTGTTCATTTCTTTTACAGGTCTGCTGCAGCTGTGCTGGAATCCTCCGTTGTGTCAACTCCTGCCAGGACTCTGGAGACCACCGCTCTGATCTGCTCCTGTTCGGAGCCACTGAACCCCTAGATTTAGCTTCCATGCTTCCAGCAAATTAGCTCTCTAGAGAGGGTCTTGACTAATTGCTCTTGAACTTTTTACCCTCAATCTGACACACATTAACACCAGAGCTATGTTTAATTTAGAATTTAATTGAGATTGCCTTTTAAATTCATATGAAATGGAGGAATTTGCAATGTGAATTTAAGGCAGCAGAATTACAGTACAAAGAAATGTCATATAATGATAAGAGGACAAACCAAGGATAAACTAAATTATACTTACCAACACACAACATGTCTGAACCAGATACAGTGTAATTTGTTCCGTCTACATTTACTTGATGTGAAACTGTTGCGTATGCGATGTCGAGTAATGAGATTTCACAGTGGGCGGGGCTCCTCAGAGTGGCAAAGTGTTACCATTGTTAAAGAAAACTAAATGAAAACGTAAAAAAATAAAATTAATTAAAATAAAACTGCATAACTGGACAAAAAAATTTAATGGCACCAGTTATTAACTGACAGCCCTAAAATACTAAAACTACATACAATTCTACAATTCTATGTACATACAATACATACAAAAAAACAACAACAATAGAGGAAAAACAAATACTGACAACTAAACTAAACAGACAAATTAAAAATAAAATGAAAATAAAAAGTAATTTAAAAATGCAGAACTGTTGAAAGAAAACATTTAGCATTTAAAAAAATTGTTTTATTAATTAATGATTTTATTCCATTTTTTTTTCATTTATTCTGTTTTATCATGTAGTCATGAGAAAATACAGAGAGATCACAGACGGTGTTGTACGAGAGGTAATGTCAGTCTGCATGTTTCACTCAAAACACAAAGAACGTTTCATGAGCCATGATGATAAAAATAACTTCCTGATATCTAAAGCAGGGAATGATCACAGACATCAGCCTTGACGTAGC